GATTGTTCCATTGGTGCATTATCAAAGCTCAATTCCGGCGTCTCATGGGAGGAGGCCGTTGCTGTGGCAGACATCCGACCCATATTATTGCAAATCGCGGCGATGTTCGGATGATCAGGAATGATCGTCACCAAGTATTTGTAGTATGCTTCAGCTGCGGGGGATTGTTCAAGTGCTGCCAAATAGTTCCCAAATGTTAACCAGGTGAGACGATAGCCGATTTCATTTCGCAGTTTATTTTCGATATATTGCATGGAATTATTGGCATACTCGAGTTGGATATGTAGGATATTATCCGGTGCGAATTCAGTGGATACTACTCGGAAAAGAGTACCGAGTTTGAAAACGACTAGATCTGAATCGGGGATATGCATGACCGAGGCTTGTTCGGACAAGTTCAGTTCGAGAAGGATTATGGTGAGTTGGTTGTCCATAGCTTGACGGCAAATCTTGACGATGGAACCCAATGAACGTGAAGCCAGAATAAACGCTTGGATGGCAAAGAGAGCATTGGGATTGTCTTTGATCATCTCAAAATCCTTCTGTGATATCAATTGAGCTCGATAAACGGTGACAGCGGACGACTCGACATGATCACTGAGCGACACAATATGCTGATTAATTTCTTTTAGTTTGACCGCTGATGCTTTCAGCATTGAGTCATTAAATTGTTCGAAAAGCTGATTGATCTTCACATTCGCTTCGCTCAGACACGCGAGTAACTGATCATGACCTTGAGCTTGACCTGCAGTCGATGGGCTTGGCATTTGAGAAAGGATGGCACTGAACAATTGAAAACGAAGAAAATTGATTTGTTCTTTGTCAGGTTTGTCGAGAAGTTTCGACTTCACTTGAAAAATACTAATGTTCGGCATGTGAACTCGCATTTGGCGATAAAAACAAATGTCGCTGGTTAATTGATCGAGGAGATCTTCGTTCAGAACAAAGATGCCGCATAGTTTGGAATGCGTTTGTATTGATTGCATTTGTGAGATAGAGTCAACATCGGCCACAATATAGGCTGCATGAACAGCTTCAAGCGTGAGAATCGGGTAAAGATGGGCATGACGGTGCATCGGTATAATGAGAAACACACTTGTTGGTGGGTCGTATTTGATCAATTCGATACATTGTTCAACGGTGTAACATCGAACGATTGGAATTTTTGGATGGGAGAAATCGAATAATTGACGACCGTCGTAGTAGAGTAGGACAATGCGACATGTGCTCAAATCCTCTTCACAGGGCCAACTGATCGGCTCGAAATGATACGTCTGGGAACAGAGTTCAGTTAATAATACACGAGATCTGGACCAACAAGCCCGTCGCTGCATGATTGAATGAATATCTTCTTTCATTTTGTCAATCAACAACTCGATCGATGATTGGACAGGCTGAGTTTTGGAGTAGTTCTTCATCCACTCACACGATTGTTCATCCTGAGAGTCTTGATATACATATCGGCAAAAAATCGTAATGCGTCACCTCTGGCACCAGAAATTCGAAATCATTAATCTGAGAATCTGTTATTTGTAGGCTGTAGGGCATAGACGAAAATATATGAAAACATATCTTGTTCGGTCATAGACGTTTTAAATCGCGTTTAGCTTTTCCTCGCAAAGATGCCACTGCTCTATGATAGAAATTAGTCAGTTTGATCCATTTAACTAATTAAACTTTTTATCGGAACTTCTCGATATATACACGATTGATAATTACGTATTAACTGTACATTAGTAAAGGTATCTACTAGCAAAAGAATTGATTTTCTATTCTTTGTATTTTTGTACAGAGAGTGTGAGAGAAAAGGCAATATTTACACCATCATCGCGTAACAAAAAATCATTATTGTTTTTTTTTTCTACTGTTGATACAAAACAATCTGGCCTAAAAAGACACGTGTAAAGCTAACTTTTCATGAGCTATCTAGTGCACGTATTTTCAGGGAAAAAATTTCTTTTTTAAATTTTTTTTCCGTAACGCGATGACGATTTTTCGCAATTTGTTATAAGAAAGGCTTATGAACAAAAACTTATAAGTATTCATGAATTACTCAAATATAATTGTCAACTGTGTGTAATGGCTGCTTATATTAATACTTGTAAAAACGATTTTCATTGGAGAATATTCTGATTGGTTCTAATTAGTAAAGTCGTTATAATTAAAATAGATTTACCAATCAAACCTATCAATCTCTCATACAGGTGTTTGCAAAAAAACTTGCACAACTTCTTCTACGGATATTATTTTGTATATAACTGTTTTTCGAATTCTGTTATAGTGTGGTGGATAGCCCACGACGAATACTACACGACACTATAATTTGATATTCGATCTGTTCACTTATAGAAGAAAAATAAGACAAACATCTCTTTTTCTCCGCCGCAAGAAAAAACATTATAATTGAAATTTCAACATTTTTGACTTTTTCATCTGAAAAATGTTGGAGTTCATCAATTGTATTTTTGATAGTTAATGACGAGTAATGTCAACTATCATAGTTCAATATTTTATTCGTTCACCTTTATCATCAATAAGAGACAAACATCTGTTTTTCATCGACATTAGACAATTTTTTACAGTATGTGGTAAAACATTTCTATAGTCATATTCGTGAAGATGACGACTTATTGTTGAAGTAGATACTGACTTTTGGCACTTTTTCGATAAATTTTCTTGTACTTCTTTATATCAGAAAGGAAAGAAATCACGCTTTTATATGCTCAATGTATAGTATATCTATCGATGATTCATCGGTAGGAAAATGAACTGTCTAACTGCTTCTAACGACTAGAAAAACGTTTAAAAGAAATATTGAATTTTGTGCAAGTTTTTTTGCAAACACCTGTAAGTACAGCTGTTGTTGAAATCTATTGACAGTTTCGATTTCTTGTTTTGTAAAACGAAGATCTCAACAGAATTTTGTTTAAGAAACTGTTTTTTACGTATAAATCAATTAAATACAATTTATAGTACTCAAGTACTCATTGTTAAAAATGGCAAAATCCAATGCCGAAAGGCAAAAAATATATCGTGCCAATTTAGCAAAAAACAAATCGAAATTTGAACATATGAAGCAAAAGTCTCGAATGCGAGATAATGCAAGACGCAAAAGCCTGACAGGTGATGCATTAAATCAATTACGTATGCGACAAAAATTTGCATCAAAGAAGTATCGTGATGGATTAAAATTAAAGCGATTAAATGATAATCGATCATCAACTTACAAAAATTGTCAATCATTCGGTAAAGCCATTAAGCGTGTTCAGAAATCATTACCAAAAGAACCAAATAAACGTATTAGTGTAGTTCGTCATATAGCACAAACACTTGATATTATTCCAAAAACAACTGATCTTCACGAACGTGAACAACGACAGTTACCGATCGAATTAAAACAAGCTGTGATTGACTTTTACAACCGCGATGATATTAGTCATCAAATGTCTGGCAAACGTGATTATGTTACAATAAAGGATGATAATGGTTCAACACAATTGCAAAAAAGAATTTTATTGAATAGCATTCGAGAAACATATGAATTATTTTTAATGGATCGTAATATTACTAACGATGCATTATCAGTTAATTCATTTCGTATTTTACGTCCACCTAATGTATTAACTTATTCTCATATGCCACACAGAAATTGTTTATTTTCTTACCACGAAAATATTAATTTATTAATAAAACCATTGTCAAAGTGTATTAATAATTCAAATTTATGTACAATTCAAGCATTTTCAAAAGCACTTGTGTGCACCGAAGAAGATGAAAATTGTATGTTTCGACGATGTTCATTATGTACTAATTATTTTGATAATAAATTTCGAAAGTATGTACTTAATCCAGCACAAAAAATTCAATGGTATCAGTGGGTTCTAAAAAATGGATATTCAGAAAAACAAGAATTTAATGGTACAGTCCATCAATGTTTAAATACACTTGAAGCATAACTCGATTCATTTTTGGTACATGTTTTTATCAAGAGACGACAAGCTGCATATTTTGAAATGATCAAATCAAATTTGGATAATGAAACAATTTGTCTCCAGGTTGATTATAGTGAAAACTTCAAGTTAGAAGTTCAAGATGCTGTACAAGGATCTTTCTATACAAAAACTGCTGTCTCATTATTTACTTGTTATGCTTGGAGCTTGGATACTAGTTATTCAATTGTTTATGTTTCAAATAATTTATCTCATGATAAGTATTGTATAAGTGCAATATTCGATGATTTATTTAATAAGTTGAAAATGAAATTCCATCACTTGAAACAAGTACATATTTTTTCCGATGGTGCTGCTCAGCAATTCAAGCAGAAGTTCTTGTTTAGAAATTTATGTCGTTTATTTGAAGCATTTAACGTAAATATGGAAGTTTTATTTATAAGAACTTGATTGAGTCGATTTTCTAATGTTTTTTTAGATACAGTTGTCGTGGCATTTTTTTGCCACAAGTCATGGCAAAGGTGTCGTCGACGGGATTGGCGGATCCATAAAACGTCTCGTATATCGATCTGTCCTAAGTGGACAAAAATGTACCTCAGCATCTGATTTTATTAATATTGGTCGATCAAAGACAAATAATATCGAACTATATGAAATCGATCAGTATCAAATCGATAATGCTAAAAAGAAACTAGAACCAATCTTTCAATCACTCAAATCAGTGCCAGAGACTAAAAAAATACATTCAATTAATGTGCTTTCAAACAACTTAATCGAACATAAATATTACTCGAATAGTTCGACAAAAAAAACACATCGATTTGAGATTTAAATATTAGTGTTTTTTTTTAAACAAAGATCGTTTTGAGTTTACTGTGAATATTTTTTTGTGACAGATTATAGAATCATTAGGATTTTAGTTCACATTTCTTCAATTTTACCTTAATGAAATCATTGTTCATATAAATAATACTATAGGAATTGAACCATTATTGCAATGTTTTTTTTTTGTATTTTGTGTAGATTTTTTACTCACTTTTATTATGCATTAACTCTTTGATATTATACTTGACTAAATTTTCCTTTTTTATACTTTGTGTTATGAAATAATCAATAAACTTGATGGGTAATATGTGATCATACAAAATAATGACTAAACTATTGTTTTCTGTATGTAATTGCTTCGGTAGGCAAAAGCAGTGGTTCAGAAAAAAATACCCTTAAAATTAAGCATCATCGCGTTACGTTGTTAGATACGGTTTTTCATCCAAACAAAATGCTCATTTCGAAATTTTCTTTTTTCCATCTGATGCACTGAAAAGCCAACTATCGAATCACTATAGAACGATTTCCTTAATAAACATAATTTCGCAGAAAAATTAATGGCAGTTGCACCACCCTCAATCTTTTGTCCCTTTTTCGTCATCGCGTTTGATCATAAAATTACACTACTATTTTCAGATAACTTACACTAAAAAAGACTAATATTTTCAAATGTGTTGAGAGTCGAAGAGATGCGTCTTTTGATGGATGAATTAAGTTCTAAATATATCACGTCACTGAGAAATGTTGAAAAAACTGTGGACAAATCGTCATCGCGTTACGCTTGTGAAAGCCGATATATATGTTCAACACATCTATGGTTATGTATTAGCGGCACAACCAATCTTCCTAATGTGTTCGTGACGACGAAGTATATCAGTTCGTTTGTGATCGATAAGAGTTGAGAGAGACAATCAGCTGCATCCTCGGATGAAACGATTTTCAGATTACTATCTTCAGCCGTTTTCAATGACGATAATTCCACTTCGAGACAACCGACAAGAATCTTGATATTTCGCCTGACCATTTTTGTTTGCAGTAATGTACCTTCGAAATTCAGAAGTAATTATTACTTCTTATATCTTGCAAACAGACTGAAATTCTCTAAAAGTACTGACGAACGGCAGTTCCCTGAGCCTTTTTCTGCAGATAAGTAATGTCCAATATTTTCGTCTCGAGTATCAGTTGATTCATCAGATGGAAACGAAGCTGCTGCTCAATACTTACATCCATTCACAAAGTTGCCGTGAACACTTTCGAGATTGAGACCGACAAGATCACGACAACAAGTGGCAGCGGATTGAACAGTAATACGTTTCGTTGGCTCGTGCTAGAAATAAGAATATTGCATCGTTCGCTGACAATCTACTCGGTGTACCGCCCTTACCTTGACTAGCTGCACGTGTTCCGTGGAGCGTTCTAGTGGAAGGAATTTTTCTTTAACTGACGTGACTTGATTGAATGAGAAATAGACAAGCAAATCAATTCGTCAATGTCGAGTAATCAAACCTACTTGATAGAGGTGGAGTATCAGAAGAAGTTAATCGTGGCCCAGAAGTGTCCGACCTACAAATGAGTAACACGTCGTTATCGATGTTAACTATCTTGGAATGAATTTTTTCCTACTGGATTCGCTGGAAGTTAGCTGAAGACTTGGGAAACTCGCAGGAGAATTCAATGTATGCGAAAATGAAATTTTGTTGATAAATAAGAAACGTGTTTTGCAAAATAGCAGAGAGAGTCTAAGGATACCAAAGCAGCCGTGTATCTTTCCGACAATAATTGATGTTATTCATCAATCATATCAGGTAGACAGAGACGATTGATTTGGTATTGAAAAAAGGCATAGGTCTAAGCGGAATACTATGAGCTAAGTGAATGGGAGTCTCAGTCATTCGGGCATCGAGCGGTTTGGGTTAGGCTTTGAAATATATTCTCTAAGGTAGGTTGGTTGAGATCAAAAGGCTGGAAAAAAACTTTGTGATTGCCGATTTTACGGAAGCCAATTGTTATCTCATCGAGGAATTGTAATGCAGGTCGATGATCATTCAGTCCAAACCGTCATCTTGATACGTTCTTCAATCGTCAATCCGGCCCATGAAGGATAGGATTGTTTTGCTATTTCGGCCCCGTACTGATCGATGAGCAAGACAACGGTACAATATTCAGACGAAGAATGATTATGGAAGGTGCGTTGGGATAGTCTGAATGAAGGGTGAAATGATTGTCTAAGACTCAGGTTATCGAGGAAAGGCTTGGATCCGGGATGGGAATGAGTAACGAGTCTAAGGCAAGTTTGATCTAAGATTCGGGATGGGACATGTTACGCAGTGAACCATAATGATCCATCATTCAGATTATTGGAACCGTTGAAATGCTCGCTTTATCAGTACAGCACAGATTCACACCATTCAATAACTACGACCAGTCAGCAGCAAAAGTCTGATTGAAACTTCATTGAACGGCGCTCATTTACAAGTTGTTCGTTAGGCAATATATCTGAAAAAATTGATCAAAGAAGACTCTATCAAGTACATGCGCCACGAACACTAAGTTGAGAATATATAAGAAAAAGATTATGTTTCAACTACTCAAGTTAAAAGAAAAGAAGTGGATTTTTTTGCAACTTGTTTGCGTTGAGTTTGTTTTTTTTCCATTCTGTGTCGTTCATGCATCATCTTCTTGCTTTTTTCTTTATTGCTGAGTTACTTTTTTTTCTTCTTACTTCAAGGCTGCCGAAGAAAAAAAACATTGAGAGACACATCATGCGCTCTCTCGACAAAATTTCAAGCAAAAATATGATGAGGGTGAGGGTGAGTATAACTACCACAATACCAAGTATTTTGATGTTGCTGAATAAATCTTATCAAGTGAGTGTGGGTGTGAGTGCGGGCATGGGTGTGAGTGCAGGTGTGGGCGTGAGTGTGGGTTTGAAGTGTCGGTGTGGGTACAGTCCTTTGCTTCACCCACACCTGCCCACACCCACACCCACACCCACACCCACCCTCTTCTTTATCCTCTGAAACACTTCCGGTTATACAAAACGAGCATTAAGTAGAAGTGTATGCCTTGAAAACTTCCTGAGATACAACAAGAAAAGAAACTGAATGAAACTGAAATCGCTGAAAGAGTTCCATGAAAGAGCTTGTTAGCACAACCCCTTTGTGCCTGACATGTAGAACTCAGGTATGTTCTTTAACTCCCTTAAAATAATGTAAGGCACACAGCCCCTCTTGATAAAGAACCCTGCGAAAGAAGTCTCAACTTTGTTGTGTATGCTTATTGGAGTCTGTAACGGAATCTGTCTGTAATTAGATGAAGTTGGAGAAGGGTGTGGGTGTGAGTGTGCGTTGAGAACAGAACAACATCTACACCCACACCCCACACCCACCCTCACTTTATATAAGTCTATTTGACACTAACGACCAATTGATTCATCGTACTTTACTGATACTCAAATCTTGAAATACAATAAAGTATTCAATCTTTAGTGTCAGACAGACTTATGTAAAATAAACTCAACCTAATATGCTCGTGACACGCGTTGATAGTAGAGTTGAAATAGCTAAGAAGCTCTAGAGGATAGCTTTGATATACCCTTGGAGTATGATGAGATAGGGAATCTCTGCTTTTTTCCCCTTGAAGAAACCTCATCATCCATATGACAGATCATGACCGAACTAAAAACCAGCATGTCAGAAAATCCACTAGGCCGTTACAGACATATCGAAATCTCTGTCGCAGTTTGTCAATAGGCTTAAAGAATATCGGTATGTTTGTCGCCACATTTGGAGCAAGTCTGAGAAGATGGAATCAGTTTTCGCTCCGTATATTTTAACATTCGTTAAGAATCATGTTTTGCAAAAGCACTATAACAGTGAAACAGAAGCCTTAAGTAACTTCTGTACTAAATCAGAGATAGATATGACTAATCGCAATATTGGTTTCACTATCACAGGATGAGAAAAATGACAAATAATTCATGCCGGTCTACCGGTCGGTTGGTCCCGATCTGACCGGTTTAGACGAGTACAGATACTAATACTGGTAAGGGAAAACCCTACTGGTTGCAATACTGTGATAGGCTTGATCTAGAACTATCATGAAGATTTTACACAAAAATGAGATATGTTTTCAAATAGAAAATGTGCTTTAACATGCATTTAGATAACAGTTTAGCAAAGAAATGTGTTGCATTAGTTCATTTTGAGGACAAATATAGAATTCTGAGATGCGTACTATTGAAGTTAGAAAATCGTTTGAAGAAATTCTGACCGATAATAATAATATCTCACACACAAATTTGCATAATTATTCTGAAGTATAAAATGTTGCATATTTCCCTTTCCATGATTAATGTTATTAACGTCATTAGTCGACGGACTCCATCTCCCTCTCTCCAACATGCTATCAATAGTCACCAGTTGACCAACGCCTTCCCTTCTCCCCTAACTGATGAGTCATATTCGAATGATCTCTTATATTTCTGATTATATTGAGAAAAAAGTGAGTTATTGCAAGAAACTGATCAGTCTCATTTATCTAGTGAATGTGTTCAGCGCTGATAAAATCGCGCGTAGAGTCCTTCCCGTAGTGCCATGAGTTCATCGTGCTTGCCGCTTTCAACGATGCGACCGCTTCGCATCACGTAGATAATATCAGCGTTGCGAATCGTCGACAAACGATGAGCAACAGTGATCGATGTGCGGTTTTCAGCTGCATGTTGTAGCGCGTCTTGAATGATCTAAAACAGTGCAATACATTGTAAAGATATGTAATTGTCATGTAAATAACTGACTTGCTCATTTTCATCATCGAGTGCACTTGTAGGCTCATCCATGAGTAAGAGTTGCGGTTTGCATACAATTGCTCGCGCGATGGCTAATCGCTGTCGCTCGCCACCAGAAATCTGCGATCCATGAAGGCCTACCAGCGTGTCATAACCCTGAATATAATAACCATTAACTTCGTTTTATTTGTCTATAACAATGCGGCTTACTTGTGGCAATGTTTGAACGAACGAGTGAATGTTGGCAATGATCGCTGCATCAATGATATCACTCATGGTGATGGAGTTTAAATCACACCCGTAGCCGATATTGTCACGAATCGACATATTGAACAATACTGGCTCTTGTCCAATGTAGCCGATGAGAGAGCGAAAATGTCGCAAATTCACGTCACGAATATCCTTCCCACCTATTTGCTGTATACAAAAGCTGTCTGTATGTGATAAGGAAGAACAAGTGAATGCAAGCATACCAGTTGTCCGTCGGTGACATCGTAGAATCGTTCGATGAGTGATAAAACAGTTGATTTGCCACATCCACTGGTACCTATATGTACAAGTAAAGTTAGTGAAGAGTGTATTCGACATGAATTATAAATAGTAAAGCATCGACAAAGCAAGACTTCAAAAGTAGATAATCCCGATTGAAAAATCTGAATGGAGTAAAATTTCAACAAATTCAGTAACACAAGCAGTGGCTCGTTTACACTTGCTTGACTCTTTCGTGGAGGAATTAGTTAAAAATGCTTCGCTACTTTGACTTTTAACGACAGTTCGAAATTTGTTACCAACATAATGAATGTGGGTGTGTAGGGGTGCGTAGAGATATGTAATGATGAATGTGAACATGGATGTACACGAAATTGAAAATTATACACAAAATCCAACTCTCTATCAATATTGACATTGATAGTCACAAACACACACAACAAATAAATAGAAACTGATACTCTTCCTCTCAGCCATTCAACACCGAAATCTACATAAGCTCATCAACTAATATCTTCCGCATACATAACAACTAAGCTTCTGTTTAGATGAAGTCTTTTTGTAGCTCTTAGAGAGATGCGTTTTTTCCATAGAATGCCAGTTATATTTGGAAGGAAGCTTTTCTGTTTTTTTTCAGGTCATGTGTTTTAATACATCTCGTCGAGCTTTAGAGCTTTCCTTATTGTGGAGATGATCTAACTGTAATTCGCGTCGAGGTCAAATAAATGGCTCAATTCTACTGGTGAGTAGCTGAGTTCGGTGCTTTTCATAATTTGGGCATTTCTAAGTTCTGGCTAACCACAAACATATTGACAATATCAATTAGCTGTTCTTCTGGTGTGCCAGCACTTGAAAACGCTCAAAATTCCAGATCGAGTGCTGTAGTAGATCCCTAAAGCTATTCCCAAATAGATTACTATAAATAATGAAAATAAACTGTCGAATTCGCATTTTTATTTGCTGATTTTCGCTTGATCAAAATGTTTTAATTTGGAGTTTCTTTTAAATTCATTTTTACTTTCAACAGTCTGTATGATTTCTCTTGTCACATGCACTCACCCACAATTGCAATTGATTGGCCAGTTCTCAGAGTCAAGTTTAATTTGTTAAGGACCATGATCTTGGGTCGCGTGGGATAAGCAAAACATACACTATTGAACTCGACTGGATCAAATTGTGGATGCTGTTGATTCTCTGTTGTATCGTTCATTGAGATAAGTGGCTTCCGGTACATAAGTCGTGTGAAATGATGGGCGACAGCGTAGGATTGACCTAACTTCGGTAGTCTAACATAAGAGATAGGTGGACACAAAGTTAGCAAGACCTTCACATGTTTATCTTTCTTTTGACACTTAATAAATTTTAGTTGTAATTTCCACTGGTGATCCAGAAAAGGCGCCCTATTGCGCAATAATCTTGAAAGTTATTAACGTGTTCGCCATCCTACTCGCCTTCCAAGTCGGTTTGGAATGCATTTAGCATTCAGTGTATGATGATATTACCGATTTTTTAATAAAAATGGTCGTCAAGTTACAGTTTTACTCGGATATGCGGCAACGAAGTTTTTTTTAGGATAAAATTCGTTTTGCGACTACTGGTTTCAGGTTGGTCAGCAAACCTCTTTACTTTCTCAATGACACGGATGTAACGGGATTGATCTAGCTGATCTTTATTGGACTTTGTTACTCCTGTCAACTCTACACTTTATATACTCACGTGAGATTCACTGCGGACAAGAAGCGACTGAGAAAGGAGACATAGGCGGCAGCCCTATTCAAAACATATACAACACAATTAATAGTTAGACAAAGAAATCTGTTAAAACACGTCTTACATCAACAGCGTGTCGATGTCGAGTTGGTGGTTAGACACAAGCTTGGCAGCACAAAAAACTACCACTGGCATAACAAAGAACATGAGCGACATTTCGACGCCGTGTAATACTCCGTGCACGTGCATGTGTTTGAGTGTGGCCCTACGAGAGGAATGAGACAGTGAAAATGGAGAAAACTGACTGCAAATGATAGTGAATACTTCTTGGTATTGCCAACAAGAGCTGTATATCGGTCGACGAAGAGATTTTGTCGGCTGAGCTGCACCACGGTGCGAATATTCTGTATTGATTCGATGGCTATCTACAACAATGCCTATAATAGACCACGAAATGATCAACGATAATATACTCACCATGTTGAGATCTTCTAGAAACCGACGTTTGTTCTTTGTGATATAGTTAGACAGAGCCACTTGTATCAAGCAAATGACAAGTATAATTATCATCAAGAAGGCAATGAGAAGAGTGAACTGCCAGCCAAGAACAAGAGCTGACAACGCCAGCCCAGCACAGAGCATAAACATAAACTCAACCAACATGCTCAACACATTGCTGATTGTCTATTCGAATAGGCACTCTGAAGATGACTAAGTAAATATGTCTAAATACCTGCTGAATGTCAGCTGCATCACTTTGCAAGAGTTTGCAAAGAGGACCGAAACCATTTTCCCGTCGATCGAACCAGCCCATTTCTTGTTGGAGTATGATGGCGAAGGTTCGTAAACGCAATTGTTCAGTTAACTGAGCGGCAGCTCGACCGAACAAATAACTCTACACAAATATACCAACATACATCTTTAGGATGATCATATATACAGCTTACACTCGACAAAGATGACAAGCAGGATACAATACCAAGCACCGCAAAACCTACCATGACATTGAACATGACATCAATACTTCCTATATTTGTAACTCGGCCAAGGTCCTACGTCACGCAAAAAATGAAAAAGCAAGAAGTGTGTAAAGTAGAAAGAGTCAATAGATTAGTACAAGACCTGCCATGCACTACTGATTAGGTACGCCAAAACGGGTATTCGACAGCCATAGATCGCTGACGCAACACTGCCCGACAAGAACCATGGCCAGGCCATTCGACTTAGTTCCCAAACAGCGGCGAAGGATGATGAAGACACGTTTTCTTCTGATCCACGTTCGTCCTAATAAAAGCATAGAAGCAAAGTTCCTCTCAACTCTATTAGTTGCGTGATGGAAAATAGAGCGGTTCGTTATTGATGTGTCTTGAGAGTTTCCTGTACGTTCTAATCACAGCACTTGGAAACTTATGCATCAATAATTTTCTCATGAATCTACTCTACACAATTAATATATATAGATTAACAAAATATTTAAAGCTTGAAATATTTTTAAAAAAAACAGGCTTTTAATTAGAAGTGCAATACTTGAGCTCAAAATGCGTGATGGGGTGCATTCTTTCCTAAATCCTTCATAAATGTAAATAACATGCTGCATTTTTATAAGCTCGTTTTCACTTATAGTTATATATTTCTTTTGCAGAATGGATAAAGCCTATTGTAAAATTTTACAAAAAGTCCTTCTCATTTTCAACTCGGAATAGTGTAAATCTTGTGCCATAGTTCACTATTTCCGGTGTCAAATATAATTTAGTGTGCACTGTTTTTGCCTCTTACTCCCTGTTGTATACTTTGAGAGATATTGCAGTTTTGAGATATAAGCTCGCTTATTATTTATTTCGAAATGTCGCGATAAGTGTAAGAAAACCTCATCGACTTAAAATTACCTCGTGAAAGCACATTTGCTTCGTGTAGAGTACGATTTCATTTCAAACAAGGAGCTTGTCGTTTAAAACTATGTCTAAACAACCTGTGAGCCCTTGATACACGTCACAATTTTAAAACAAACATTAGACGAAGATACCTTTGCTTTCATCTCAAGTATACTATTTGCGTGATAATTATGATTGTTTCTAAAAAAAAACATAACAGATGTGATGGTTTTTATGTTTGTGTATCACAACATTTATTCTGAATTTCACTTTGAATAGAAGTAGGCAGTGAATCAGAACACATTGCACGACTTGCTTCTTTACAGCTCTCACAATGACATCTGTGACCTATAACCAATGACCAATCAATCTATCTAATCACTATCTTTTTTTTTGTTATTCCCTCTCTTTTTGCTATATTGTCTTTCTTTTCTCTGAGTGAATATCTGATTATGTGTTTTGTTCCAAACGGAGTAAAGAGGCAGGGTAAAGATATAATAAACAACCAGCTTGAATCGAGGTAACAGCGAGAGTCAAAGCCAAGTTTTCGATAAGTACAGTTGCTCTGTAACAATTAAAACTGGTTTCGACTATGTCCATTAAGCATTATGATGGGTATTTCTCTTTCTTGACATGATGATTGTATCTCAGTCATTCTCTACTATGATTCTGTTGTTTACTTTCTCTCACATTGGCTGCAATCGTTCAGAAATGTGATGGTCATAATACAGTAACTTGTCTGCAGATATTCGATCGACTACTGAAGCATGCTCACATGAGTCTTGTCGATCTCCATCTCATCGACTTTTGAGATATTTCGGATTCAAGCTACTCGTGATAGATTCAAACAAACAGATGGAGTCTACTCTGCTAACTATGTGCATTTGGTTCTTAATGATACAAAGATTTTTTGAAAGCCGAGAGTCGTATTTGAGGTTTACAAACTCTGAAAACTAGTCCAAGACTCGACGGTATATAGTGGCGCTCAAAATCTACCATGCATCACACGCAAATCTATGTAGACATTGTGCGGTTAAAAATTTTGAATTTCATATTTTTGAACAAGAACACGCACTTTAAAAATGCTTTAACTGAAAAGCAAGTGGAACTTCGTTAAAGTGTTTTTAAAATCTGTCTTCTCGTTGACCAAGATGAAATACGAAGTACCGTATCCATCCATTTTTGCCTGCAATGTCTGATCATTTATGAGCGAAGTCAGAGAAAATCATTTTTAGTATCTGTTGTCTAGCATAGCAAATATATGACATAAACAGTTGATATTTTGAGCAGACAAACTATAAAAACGAAGCGAAATTTTGGCGAAAACTACAACTCTATGTGGAAACTTCTCTGAGACACAAGAAAAACAAGGCCATTGGCTTGGCATATGATCAATTTTGAACGTTACTACATCAGTGTTGTAACTGATAATGGTAAACCACTGGATCGCACTGATCCAATCGAAAGTTCCTTGGCAGTCGGTATACCGGCCAGTAGATAACTTTTTCTGTACCGACTGATCAAGCATTTTTTCGAGTTTTTGCATGTTTTTTTTTCAAAATGGTGATCATAGAGATGTTTGTTTTTGCATGTCAAAACAGTTTTACTGATATCAATGACTATTTCTATCGAGGAACTTGAATTAGAATATTTTTATTAAGGAAGTATTCATCATAATATCCCTAGTATATTTTATCAAGTCACTTCGATTTCAAGTTATATTATCGAAACAAAATGAAATCACTGGTCGTGATTGTAATGGGCCGATTGTAATTCATTATATATTTGTTTTCATTTTGTATTATTTATACCATGTTTTGCAGAGACAAAAGAGATGACGAATATGAATCTTTCGTGAGACGCAGAGTACATCTAGAGCTGTTTCAGAATTTCTATGTCTGACGATCATTTCATTATTGTACAAAACTAATTTCGAATTTGTAGTCCTATGAAAATTTATGTCCATCAATCAATGCCAAAAGAGAGAAAACTTATAGAAATAGATAGTGAAGGAAAAGCTTTCAGCATAATTCATACAGGATTAAAATGTTAAATACGATGGAGCTATTTTAACTATTTTGGAAACCCAAGGAAGAAAAAGCGAAAACTTGTTACTTCACCCGTACTTCAAGGGTATGTTAAAACTATCGTCTAGAACATCTTAGCTGTTTGAATTCTACTATGAACGTGTGTCATGAGCATACCAGTTTGGGCTCATTTTATGTAAGTCTTCATGATACTAAAGCCTAAATAGTTCATCATATTTCAAGATTTGAGTATCAGTGAAGTACGATCAAGTGTTTAGGCTTTATCATCACACAAAATTAAAGATGAGCTCAAACTAAAATGCTCCCAACACATGTTAATACTAGACTCCACATAGCTAAGACGTTATAAAGAATAGCTTTGGCTTACCAACGAAGTGCGTTGAAATACAAAATTTCCGTTTTTTCTCTTTGGGAAACCTCATCATCCGAATGATAGACCATGACGAGATCAAAAATCGGCATGCCTGAAAACCCGATAACTCGTTACAGACATATCAGAGTCTCTGCTAATAGATTAAAAGAACATCAGCATATTTGTCGCAATCTTTGGAGCAAGCTACGGGAGATAGGATCAATTTTCTCACCATATTCTTCAACAATCATTGACAATCGTGTTTTACAAAAATCCTAGAATAGTGAAACAGAAGCCTTACGTAATTTCTATAGTGATTCAGATGTAGGTACGACTAATAAAGAGATTGATTTGATTCTTACAATATGAGAAAAGTGAACAACGGCTCATGCCGGCCAACTGACCGATCCAGTCTGATCGGTTTAGATCAGTACTGGTACCGATCAGGAAAAAACTCTACCGGTTGCAACATTGAACTACATATTCTCCGACGTCAATAAATCATAGTGAAACTCGGACTCTTGGCATTGTGTAATGAAATTGAACTACACAATGGAAGAAAACTAACTTTCTTGTCGAAACGGATTCCATTCGATCGTATTTCAAGTGCCTTCGCTAGTATTGTATTAGCGAACGGTTCACCACCTTTCTCTATCAGAAAAACCTCAAAAGACTTATTGACAAATAAATATTTGACGTTACACCGTTGTAATCAGTGGTCATAGCCCCTGTCTTCCCTTTCAGCAAAACCGACCAACTAGCCATGAAAAGAAGAATTTTTTGTCCTTCACGACAAAGAATCGAAATAAAAAGTGTGTATGAATCGCTAAACAGTTGAATTTTGATCACGTTTTCGCTCGCACATAGTAATTAAAGTAGAATTCTTTTTACTCACGTTTGATTTATGCTCATCGGTTATCTCATTTGACGAGTCATCGAAAATATTCATTGATGAAACATGTTGTTGTTCGCTGTTGTCTGTCTCCGCACTATCATAATCATCTTCGTCGAAATTTTGCCGCTCACGATTGATCATAGTGGCATAGTGACCTTGTGGAAGTTTCATCAGCTCGCTATGTGATCCCTGCTCGACCAAAACACCTTTCTTCATCACAAGAATGCGGTCGGCATTACGCACTGTCGACAAACGATGCGCGATTATCAAAGTAGTTTGCTGATGATCTATCCAAGATGTTTGACATAATCTAC